TCACACGTGTACAGCAAATGCTTTACAACTAAGCCACATTCCCGTATCTCAGCAAACTAAACTTAATTACTTACTTAGGCATTGTGATTTACAATCGTGCTACTATTTTTAGTTTACAATGCTACTGTACCACACCCACCATCAGAATGACAGTGCCTCTCCACCAGGATCTCTACGTATTTCTCACACACCCACTCCTACTCCCACTTGGCAGCTTCAGTTCTGTTGTCAGAATCTTTGGGCTTGTTGTCATTTGCCATTGTCTATTCCTTTGCTCTGCTTCTTTATTCTTTGCATATCAGTGAGATCATCCTTCTTCTTCTGATACTTCATTTAGGTTGACATCCTCTAGTTCCAAAGAACTTATTAAAAATGCAAGATTTTGACTTTTCTCAGAGGTGAGTCGAATTTCATTGTGTATGTATTTATCTTACAACCTTTTAATTTTATTTTTATTGAGCTACCGTAGGGTACAATAGTATTAAAGTTGTTATTTTGTAGTTCCAGAACTACTTCTTTAACCAACCATCTGATTTTTACCACTTGGGGTTTGAACAGAAATTGGCTATTGGACATAGTACCGCAGTGAATCAAACTCTATGCTTATCTTCACGAATTAATGGTGTGTGTGTGTGTGTGTGTGTGTGTGTGTGTGTGTGTGTGTGTGTTGGGACTAGATACCAAGGAGTGGAATCATTGGCTCATATTCCTGTTTCATTTTCGATGTTTTTTAGATGCTTCTACACTGATAAACATGGAGGCTGAACCAAGCAAAAGACCACAATGGAGAGATAGTACGGCAGGTGGGCATTTGTTTTGCATATGGCAGACTCAGGTTTGATCCCCAGCATCCTATGTGATTCCTCCCATCCTCTTTTTTCATAGAATCACTTTGAGTAATCAGACATTTTATGATTACTTATAAATTTTTGTAGTCTTTATTTTATTTTCTTGAAGAATGGCATAGGAATTTTTATAGAAATAATATTAAATTTGCATAGTGCATTGGGTGGTAGATTGGCAATTGCAACAGTGTTAAACCTACAAACAAGGAATTTATATTTTCATTTCCTAGTGTTTTCTGTTTCTTTTCCTTGGAATTTCTTATTAGATGAGAGCTGGACCTTATTTTTATAGTAATTCATAGTTCTCATTGAATATGTATTTCACCTCCTTTTCAGGCACTTGATTATTTTTAAGTACATTTGCAAGGGAATTTTATTTTATTCTGTTTGATGTTTGCTTGGTTTGAGGATCACACACGTAGGTGTTCAGGGCTTATTTTTGGTACTGTGCTCAGGGATCATTCTTGCAGTATTGAGGGACCATATGGGGTGGTGGGAATAGAACCTGGATGAGCTACAAGCAAGGCAAGTGCCTAACCTGCTGTACTATTTCTCCAGCCACTGTAATGGAGTTCAGAAATTTGTTCTTTCTCTTCTAAAATGGTTTGCTTATAAAAATGCGACAGATTTCTGTGTATTTATTTTGTAACTTTTTTTTTCTTTTTGGGTCACACCCGGCGATGCACAGGGGTTACTCCTGGCTCTGCACTCAGGAGTTACTCCTGGCGGTGCTCAGGGGACCATATGGGATGCTGGGAATCGAACCCGAGTCGGCCGCGTGCAAGGCAAACGCCCTACCCGCTATGCTATCTCTCCAGCCCCTATTTTGTAACTTTTAACTTCACAGGATTCTTTTTAAAAGAATTGTTTGGCAGTCTTTTAGGTGTGTGTGTGTGTGTGTGTGTGTGTGTGTGTGTGTGTGTGTGTGTGTAGTATCATGTTATCTATGAATAGTGGTAGTTTGACTTCTTTTGCATTTTGAATCTCTTTAAGATCTATTTCTTGCCAAACAGTTGTGCGGAAGGCTACTGATACTGTTTTGAATAATAGTGTTGAAAATTGTCATTCTTGTCTGTGTCTCATTTTAGAGGAAAGATTTCCTCTAAGTATACCACAAAGTATGATTTTAGCTTTGCATTTTCCTTTACTTATATTAAGGCAAGTTTCCTGTGTGTATATGTGTGTTTTATTTTTATTTATTTATTTTTTGTTTGGAGGCAGCACCTTACTGTGCTCAGGGCTTACTCATGGCTCTGCACTTAGATATCTCTCCTGGTGAAGTGTGGGAGTCCATTTGTGATGTTGGAGATTAACCCAGATAGTCCACATGCAAGTTAAGTTCCCTACTTGCTTACTAGCTCTCTAGTCCAACATGTATGTGTGTTTTGGGGAGAGATTTCAAGGGTTGGGTCATGCCCAGCCATGTTTAGTAGCTATTCCTGGGTCTGTGCTTAGGAGTGACCCCAAGCAGAGCTCAGGGGACCGTATGTGGAACCTGGGATTCAACCTCTGTTGGCCTCACTGGAAGGTTTAATAGTGTCTTAACCCCAGTACTCTTTCTCTCTCTCTGATCCTGAGGTGAGTACCTTTAGGTTGAAAGATTTTTTGTTTTGTTTTTAAAAATAATAAACAGATATTATATGATTTTATATTATACTTATATTATATTGAATATTATATGATTTCTATGTATCTATTACTATGATTATATTATTTTACTCTTTTCTTTATGTGCTCCATCATATTGATTAATTTGTATATATTGAGCCCTTCTTATCTTTCTGAAGTAAATCGTACTTGATCATGATGCCTGAACCTTTTACTGTAGTGTTGAATACAGTTCACTAAGATTTTGTTGAGAATTTTTGCATCTAATGTAGTTGATCAGATTTTTTTTTTGCTAATCTCAAAACACCACAAATTTCATTCAATGAATTATATATTTAACTCTTGCATGGACCGTGAACAAAAAGAACAGATTAGAGTTATAAGTTAAAAAAAAGAAAAGAAAGAAAGAAAAAAATTGCTTGGAGACAACCTAAAAACTAACCAGTACGTTTGTTCAGATCATGGGGTTCATGAAGCAGTCAGATACAGAACAGTGCTGTGGGATCTCAGCGTTTTCCAGAATTTGGAGAGAATAAATTGCATTCTCCATCTGTCTATGACTCTACAGGACTCTTTAGCCAAGGGAAAAGAGCTTAATTTTCTTGGCAAGGTTCTGAAAAAAACACTGTTAAAGTACTGACCCCTTTATTAGCCAAGCAAACAAGTCATGGTGTGAGTCTAAGCAAATTGGCTCCTTAGAGCTGGCCAAGAATCTGGAACAGTTTGCCACAATGATAAAGTCAGTAAGGCTAGTCTAAGCATCTTCTACAGAACCTGAATGACAGCATTACTGACACATGGAATTGTGCTATCTTCTCTAGGTTCTCAATAATATGGGTTAAGATAGTTCAATATTGGGCTTGGAGCAATAGTACAGCGGGTAGGGTGTTTGCCTTGCATGTAGCCAAACCATGTTTGATTCTCAACATCCCATATGGTCCCTGAGCACCGTCAGGAATAATTCCCGAGCGCAAAGCCAGGAGTAACTCCTGTGCATCGCTGGGTGTGACCCAAAATGCAAAAAGTAAATAAATAAATAAAAACTCCATAATGTTTAGGGTCCTGTGAAGAATATAAATGTTCAACCACTTGTCCAGAAAGTATAAAGAAATACCATCATATACTTTAGATCATGAAGCATTTGCCATTATTCTGTGATCTCTCTCTTAACTTTCTTCTTCATTTGCCATGTAATGCTGTAAGACAAGTAAAATTTTCTTTTGTTTTGGGACTACACTCAGGGTGCTCAGGGTTTACTCTTGACTCTGCTTTTAAGAATCACTCCTGCTAGAGCTCTGGGGCTCATTTGGGTTTCAGGGATTGAACCTGAGTGGGCTTTGTTCAAGGCAAGTAAGCTACCAGCTTTACTATCATTCTGACCATAAGGAAAACATTTTTAGCTGCTTGAAATTTTGAGTCCTTTTTGTATTGTGTAATATTAGAGTGAATACAAATGTTAAGAACATTTATTATACACGTGAAATCACTAAAATATTTAATTTATGTTTCATAATTAATTTTTACAGTTATATTTTGTTCTTATAAGATCAATAGAAATGGTGTACAAAAGTTACTCAGCTGTTTTTATTTCACTTCTTGATATATGCGCTTTATACCAGTTACTATTTTAGGATTATTAGTGAATCAGGTGGTCTGAAAGAAAAAGGAACTAACTCTGCCTTATCTATCCAATTTTTGTATGTCTTACTTTCAGCATAGGTGGTTGGTCAATACAAGAAAAGAGATGTAACCAGGTTATTTGCATTTCTGAGAAGGTTGTTGCTTTCTTTTGCTCTTATTCAAACTAGTTCTCATTCAAAGGAAAGAGTGGCCTCTAGGGGATGCTAGTGTCCTGCTTCCCTTAGTTGGAATTAAGAAACGACTATACTCTTGCTTCTCACTGAATGCCACAGCATGGTAGATCTACTGCAACTTTGCTTATGAAAATAAAACAGACCTTGCAAATACTACTTGAAAATGAGATGTTAGTGATTGGCAGGGGACATTTTTGAGTGTATGTGCATGATTTAATTATTAATTATTTTGAGAGCCCGGCAAGCTACCGAGAGTATTCGATATGCCAGACACAGTAACAACAAAGTCTCCAATGGAGACGTTACTGGGCCCGCTTGAGCAAATCGACGATCAACGGGAGGGCCTTACTTACTTACTTACTTACTTGATAGGTCAAATGCCACCCAGAAAATTCAAATATGTAGATAAAATTCTTAATTTTTTTTTCTTTTCGGGTCACCTCCGGCAATGCACAGGGGTTACTCCTGGCTCTGTACTCAGGAATTACTCCTGGTGATGCTTGGGACCATATGGGATGCTGTGAACAGAACCTGGGTAGGTCGCATGCCAGGTAAACACTTTATCCGCTGTGCTATTGCTCCAGCCCCAAATTCTTAAGATTTTGAAGGTGGTGGGACTAAAGAGATTAGATAGGTTGCTTGCCTTGCCTGTGCTCCCCTTGCATGTGGCAAATCCTGGTTTGTTCTCCAGCACCTATGTGGTTCCCCAAGCACAGCCAGGAGTAAGACTGACCATCACCAGTTATCTAAAAGACAAACAAACAAAAAAGTCAAAATAGTGAGAGCAGAACTAAACCAAGAATAAACTATTTCTGTTTTTGAAGATCCCTTCATTTGTTTGAGATCTAAGTTCCTGATCTCAACTACCCCTCCCTAGTTAACTATAGCTAAATGCCCATCCTATGGGTGCATCCAAGATAAGGGTTCATCCTATGGGTGCATCCAATATAAGGGTTGGGGTGAAATGTGCAGGAGTCTGGACTCAAAGCCAGCAGGAGAAACTGGATAGCAAGTAGAGGAAACAGTGAGAATAAGCGCTTGGCCATTATCCTCGTCACCTCAAACTTCTTCCTTTGACTACAGGAGGTGAAGTTCCCATTGGAGGCTTCTCAGACCTCACAGATCATTGGCCAAGGGCCAATGTTACCCTGTGATAGAACTGTTGCCTCTTGTAGATGTTTTCCAGGTTACTGAGGAGCGGCTTGCCCATCACATCTGGATCTTCTCCACAAGGTTCATATCCTCTCTGTTCTGCATATGATGGCTGCAGTTGCAATGCAGCATAGCTGAGATCTCTGAGGCTTTTAGAACACATCATTCTTCTTGACATCCTTGAAAACAAGCTTATCAGTCACCACAAACATCCTGTGTAACTTCCGAGACCGGGAGTTGATTTCTTTTCAAAGGTCCTTTGTGTCAGACAACATCTTAGTGACCTCTTTCTTCTGCTTCTAGATTCTGTTTTACTGCATCTGTCAAAGGTCTGTCAGTCCCACCCTCTGTTGAGCTGAAATCTTTCCACAGCACCCAAGAAAGTGCTCTGCACCCCATGGCACATCAGGTTTACCCCCAGGTCTTGACAAGGCTTCTCTTCTCCATAACAGAGTTCAGTGCCTTATTCCACATGTTCCCCAAACCACTGGATACAGCCTGGGTGCCCACCTAAATAGTACTGATTATGGCACCTGTGACCCCAGCAGTTCTGCCCCTGAGAATTGTTGGACCTGAGCACCAAACTGTTACTTCTGCTCCCATGTGTGCCTGGAAGTGGATCTTGGACTCCTGAGCACTACCAGGGCAATCTCACCCACCAAATTAAAATAAAATGAAACCACTACTTCTATTTCAGTCAACCATCTGGAACATTTCGTGAAAGAAAAACACAAGTGCACCAAATGCTGGTAAACACAGATTTAATTCTGGACCTGTAAATAGAAAGAAGCAATCCTTTCTAAACTTAACTATGCCAAAACACACAACTCAGCAAACGCTACCAGAACCAAGACTTGAGTTTTATGCTCATTCTCATTTGTTGCTCTACTTTACCTATGCATATTGCCACATACTGTAAAAGTTAAATATTAACAAAGCATGAAGATTTTTTACACGTGATACTATCATTCGGGTGCTTGGAAGTACTGAGAAAAATATCTCATACTTCAGGTGAAATGAATGATTTGTTCAATCATTTTTTCTAAAACTGAAAAATTTGGCATTCATTTCATTTTAAAATATAAAATGTTTCATACAACTTAGAATTTCAGTAAGACATTTTTTTAAAAAAATATGTCCGTTAGAGGTATTAAAATAACATATTTCTATCAGATAGCACTTGCTATTCCTTCCACCCCTGAATTTCTCAGTCTAGATTCAAAACCTGAGATCATTTTAACCTTTATTGTCACAAATCAAGCTATATATACTTTAAAAAGAAATAAAGCAAAATACACTGGTAATTTGAAAACTTCATGTTAATGAAGCTTATATGAATGAAGTTTATGAATCAAATGATGGTATTGGGTAAGTTTCACTTACAGATGAAATGTAAGGAAACAAAGCAATGGAACAGGCAAAGTCAAGGGAAGGGAAAAATCTCTCAGACTTTGACCTCAGAACACAGTTTACAAAAGGTCAGAGGCTATGGAGGTGAAGGAAAGAGATTAAAGTCTAGAGGTGGTCTAATACTGTGGCATAGGGTTTGGGCCCTCTCAGGGGAGTGTTATGTGCAATATTGTGCCACCAAAACATATGTGGTTTTGCAAATGTTATCTCCATCTTTTTTCCTTTTAGAGAAAAAAGGGCAAAAAGAGAAAAGGAAAGAAAGCAGGAGAGCAGACAAAACATTAAAAAAATTTTATGTAATATTATGTGCTGAAATGATATATAGAATAGCAGGGATAAGGGGAATAGGCAGGGTAAGATTTGAGAAAGGAATTGCTTTTCTCAAGTAGAAATAGTGAAAAGTGATGACAGTGTCACAGAATGTCATAAGGTAGGGTAGCCAAAAGGGTCAAGTGAAAGCCATTTTAACATTATGCCTATCTCTATCCATAGTTTTTTTTTTCTTTTGGTTTCAGGGTCATATCTGGCTGTGCCCACGGCTTACTGCTGTTTCTATACTCAGGGACCACTCCTGGCAGGGCTTAGTGAACTATACATGATTCAAGGGGATTGAACCTGGGTTGGCCTCATTCAGGGCAAATGCCCTATGGACTGCACTACTGCTTAACCCCAGCCCATCTCTATCTTAACTGCATGTATACCTCAAGATTAGAGGAGCCCTCTGGATAACAAACCTGCTCCCTGACAGTTCATAGTTGCCATGACAACTCATGAAAGTGCTAAAATGTGGTGGAAACTCAGACTCCAGCTACTTCTCACCCACAGTGAGAGGAGGGCCGGAGAGGGTAGGAAGGACGGAAGTCTGAAACCTTAAGAGGAAAAACACCGAGATGTCTTTGATGATACCCTGGCCTCATCCTGGCACTTTATGCCCTTGCGGAAGAGTTTGCTATCTTCAGTCTTCATTTTTTATTTTCCTGAATAAATGCTTCAATTTGAGTTTCACCATTTAGTTATTTCCCGTTTGTTTCTTAATCTCGGGTTATGGTGACCAAAACCTTCGTATGGTAAAAACAGACCAGAGTCGAGAGGGGTCCACTGAACTGTAGTGGTGGTGGTTTGGGGAGGGGTGGGGGCATTGGTATTAGTTGTGCTAAGTGCGGTGGAGTAACACATCTTTAACAAGGGTGAAACTGTACCTTTAAAGCATACGCAGATGTACTGTCTTGTAGATCACTGCTACGTCAAAAAAAACAGAGCAAAACAGAATTGTGGTTTTGTTAGGGCGAAAAGGGATTTTCCTGCACCGGTGACTTCTTGAGAATTGTACGAAAGATTTGCATACAAAACTCAGAGTAGAAGTTCGAGATTATTATACAGATGAAGTAGTTAGGTCGGGGTGTAGTTAGGTCGGGGTGTGTGTGGGCGAGATCTCTGAGCTCTGTACCTGTCACTGGGCCACCCAATTGTACCCCAGCAGTTCCTGTCATCTTATCCCAGGTTTCCTAGTTTCCAGACGCGGCCATGTGTGTGGGGGTGAGATTCGTATGCTCAGCACCCCTTCACTACCTGGATGTCCAAGGCCAGCCTGAAGCTGAACTTTCCTGGGCGTCTGAGTCCTGCCTGGATTCTACCCCTGCTGAGCCTATGCGGCCTGCCCGTACTTGGCCATCTGTCTGGGGAGGAGGTGGAGAACTCCTAGCTGATCATGCAGTCTGCGAAGAAGGAGATGCTGAGCCAGGAAAGAAGAAAGAACAGAGAAGAGAGAAACAGAGAGAGAGAGAGAGAGAGAGAGAGAGAGAGAGAGAGAGAGAGAGGAGAGAGACAGCGACAGAGACAGACGGGGGGGGGGGGGGGTTGGGAACCAGGGTAGATGAATTGGGGTGGGGGTGATGTTCAGGGTTTCCTTTTTTCTGCTGTCATATCCCATCCCCAACCATCCTATTGTTTATTCAAATTTTCTACCTGTTCCATGGGAAAGATTTAAAGTGACTACTAAATTCACCCTTCACTCCCACTCCTGCTGTATCAGTTTCACAGTAAATAAAAACTTGAATTAGGTTTTGTTTTTTCACCAAGGATATTACTGTCTGGCTGTTGAGAGTGATAAGTAAACAAATAATTACAGCAAGGTGTGAAAAGAATAATGCTGAGAATATTTTGGTAACACAGTAAAGTTACTGTATAAATTGAACGAGGAGGTCTTTCTCAAATGATGCTAATAGTAGCCACTGCTGTACATGGTCTTTGAAACTCCCCTTAATATTTTTATCATTTGAATCACACATAGAAAATATTCTTAGCAAGACATGAGGGAAGAAATGTTGCAGGACCTAAATATATTAAAGAATTGAAACAGGAGCCAAACGAGTGTCAGCAGTCTAGTTTGATGCTCCAAATCAGTGTAATCAAATTTAAACTCAGAAACATATAGGACAGGATGGAAGATGCCTATCTGGAAATTACTTTTATTTGGGGCTGAGGGACTGGGGAGGAGGTTAGGTCATTCAGCGGTACTCAGGGCTTACTTCTAGCTCTGTTCTCAACTCCTGGCTCTGTGCTCAGAGATCATTCTTGTCAGTGTTCAATGAACCATATTTGGTGCTGGAGATCAAACGTGGGTCTGCTGTGTTCAAGATAAACACCTTACCTGATCTACTCTCTAGCCCTAGGCAAAAAAATTTGGTTTAACAATGCATAGACAGACTTATTTAAAAGTAGTTTTTGAAAGTCACTGTCTTAGACTTTTTAAAATTAGGCCATCTAGGCGGCCGCACCGGAGCCTTGTGGACAGCAGGTTTGAGCCGCGGGTGGCGGCGGCAGGGACCTCATGGGAAGGGGGGCGTTATGGGCCGTCCTTCATGCCCGACCGAGGTCACCAGCTGCCCCCCAAGAGCGGCTCTCCGGCACGGCCACGACTCCAGAGCACAGAAACCAATCTCTTAACTATCTAACTTTTAATAGAAATACTTCCAGGGTTAATAAGTAAAATAGCAGAAATCCAGAACCACGCGGCCGCAATAGAGGCCGTGCGACATCATTTTATTCTTAAACCCAGCTGTAGAAAGCAAATCATTTCACAACGCCGTTTCAGCAAGTCTGATTGGGGGCGGGGGGGGGGGGGGACGGTCGCAAACTCTAAACAATAATGGTGCATCTTCTATCGAAACAATGTATCTAGTCAAAGTAGATAGAGTATTAACTAGAACTCATCTGCCTCACAGGAATTGGGAGGGGTGGGAGGTGGGGTTCTATTGGGGTTCGCGGTTAAAAATAAGTATTGGTAAAGGGAAATGTGTTTGATATTTACATGACTGAGACCTAAACCCGAAAGCTCTGTAACTTTTCCCACAGTGATTCAATGAAGAAATAAATTATAAATAAAATAAAATAAAATAAAATTAGGCCATCTATTTAAAGTAAAAAAAAACGTGCAAAACAAAGTAATATGAACGTTAAAACTTTAAGAGAGCGAAAGAAACAATAAGCATAAAATTCTGAACTTAAGTGAGGGGCCATGAGGCACAACCCATACACAAACTAGTAAAGGAGAACAAAGTTTTGGGATCTAGTGGGTCAGCAAATGGGGTATAGCAAAGTTTGCATGTATAAATTATTTTAAAAATCAAATTCAACAACTTGAGTAGCAGAACCATTCAGCGATAGCTCTATAACTGGTGTGTTGCAAGATGCTTTGGCAAGAGACAGAAGTAATGCGGCTTCCTCTGGTCAGGCTGCAGCTGTATGAAATGTGTGTACAAAAGTCAG